TTCCATGTCATAAAGGCTTAGTCATGTCTCTTGACCAAGCAATGAACTGGTGCCCTGACACATAGCTAGTTTTCCATAACCATGTCAAGACGGACCCAGGTGGCATTGCCCCTGTTCATTCCTTCCATGATGATGTCAGATATGCAACTGGGGCATGGCTGGACCTTGAAATGTGGGTGATCAAGTTGATACATCAGGTCCACCATGAAATTGTAGGGCTCATGCCCAGCTGGGATGAGGTAATCAGACTTGTTACCAAGGTCGACATGAGCAGTGATGACATGTTTACCCCGGCAGGTGGGATTGGTGATGTCTGCTTCTTTTTTGATGAGTATGAATGTCTTGCAGATCTTCCAGAACTGAAGAGTGTGTCAGCAAACACCAATCAGCAGCCAATCAGTGCACGTACATTGTTGGACATGAAGGTTGGAGCACGCAGTTCAAATGCACACTTATGGTCATGCTTCTGCACTGAGCTGAGCTGGCCAGAATTGCACATGGTCTGCCACCATGCATCATGCAAACTGTCATCCAGCTGGTCATCCCATCCCCACTCCTCTCCCACCCAGCTCTCATCCACAATCTTAAAGGCAAATTGCTCAACATTGTCCTCAGGTACACCTTGCTGTAAGGCTTGAAGGCAAGCACCCATACTGGCCCATGAATACTGCTGAAGGAAGGTCAGTAGATGGAAGCACCACAGGAGCAAACTTACAGTCTTACAATGCTCAGACAGATGCCCTTCAAGAGCCCATTTGTCCCTGAGTGCCTTTTGTGAAGGGTTATGCTCAGCATCAAACTGCTGCTTGAACTTGCCCCATATTGTGTGTAACAGATCTTTGAGAGCAGCATGAGAGACCCACTCCTCATATGGAGCAGGCACAAGGTCCTCATGCTGACCACCAGGCAAGTGAAGTATTATCTTGCTGTTTGTTGTAAAGCTCACCATGTTCAGCTCCTGCACTAAATGCACTGTCTGATTGACAATGGTGAAATTTTCCCCTTCTGTCCACAGGGAAGTCCCCCAATCAGGGAGGAGGAAGGGTGCTGAGCCAGTGGATGCTTCAGGACTGTACCTTGCATCTTTGTTCTTCCTGGGCATTGGAGCCCCTGTGACATGGGCATCATATCCAATCAAACACAGGAGAGTGGCCCTGAGGTGTTTCTGGGTCAAGTTAGCATCAGAATGCACACAACATGAAGGTGAGCAACTTACATAGAGACAGTCATGTACAGCTGCTTCTTCCTTCATCAGCTGCCCCTTAGCCTTCTTGGTGGGAAGAAGGGAAGGAAGATCAGGGTCAGAGCCCTGACAACACTTGCAGCAAGAGGTCTTGGTGGGTGCAGGAGCAGATTTGGTCACCTCCATGGTGTCCAGCCTTTCAGATGCAGTGACGAGCTGGTTGCGGAGATCATTCTGGTCTTCCTTCAGCTCAGTCAAAGAGGACTTGAGGTCCTCAACCTCAGCCTGGAGCTTATCAACCAGTCCCCAGAGCTCAGAGCAATCGTCAGCACATGAAAGTTCATTGGAGGAGATGGACCTGCAAGAAGATGAAGTATTATCTTGCTGCTGCCAAATGAGCAGTACAAAATTTACTTACCATTGTTCATTAGCAGACCCACGGGTCAGTATAGCCTTCACCAAGGCCAGACAATTTGCTTTAGACAGCTTGCCGATGATTTGATCAATATTAATGGAATCTTGCTGAGGCAGAGCCATAATCATATGGTAGTCAACATGGGTGAGGTGAGGTGAAGGGAGGTGAGTTGGGCGTGAGAGGGAGAAGGTGGGAAGGAGTGAACTAGGGGATGAGGTGAAAAAAGATTTGCTTAGTAGAGCTTCTGTGAAAGATAGCAGAGGTGATATGGAAGAAATAAGAATTTGTGAGATCCTAGCTACCTGATGGAGATAGGTACCAATATATATTAATATTACCTGGATTGTGCAGAAGGGGACTGTTAGTATATGAGATGTAGCAAGCTTTTCACAAACTAACAGAGGTAAGCTGCAGACCTAGCACCAAATTTTAACCTATTTTATCTTTGTTACTCTCTATTGGATATAAATAGGTGTGGGTAAAATTAACAGATATTAACAGGACTAAACTGCAGAAACAGACCCTATATGGCCTGGACTGCCTAAGTTGATGCTTACTCAGGCAGGGACTCCACGTGGTGCTTCTTCACGGCTTGTCACCTCAGTTTCAGCACAGCCACGTACCTGGACCAGATCGGGGCAAACCTTAACCCGAGCTGCATTCAAACCTCAACCGAACACTTAAAACAAACCCCAGTCAAAGCCTTTACTAGAGAGAGCAAGAGTCAAATCAATGACAAATGACCCGAGGTGTAGTGACTCTCCCAACGTGCGGCGTAGAACAAATCCATATTAGTTCTTAATTAACTCATTACTCATATGCATGACCTCGTGTTGAATATGATACACACGAATATCCAAGATCGCCTTGCTCACTTGTTGAAGACCCCATCAGTATCCCTTATCTTCGCACTCGTCGCTAAAGCTCCCACATTCGACTCCTTCGCTAGTTCCGATCCCCCGTCCCCCAGTCCATGATCAAAGCTGCAGTCGGACGCTCCATCGTGCATGACATCAACCCTCCACTCGGCTTAACACTTCCTTCGGCACTCTCACCACCCAAGGGAGTGCTATCCCGTTCATCCGTCGTAAGATCTAGGGACGAGTCAGCATCGTTGACAGGATAGCGGATGATGCAGGCAAAAGGAGACGGGGAAGAGCATCGCTGATAGGGGCGGTTCAAGCGGGCGGCATTTTCTCGAGCTCTGGTTGTAGGATGCCAATCCCCATCTTCAATCTCAACCTCCTCTTTGCAAGCCACTCCTTCCATGCAGAAAGAATGGCACTCACCCCTGCACCCCATCGCACCGGCACGTCCTCTCCCTCCCATAAATCCCACAAAGTCTTCACCCGATCCTGCACATCCAAGTCTACCACCAATACGCTCTTGACCACTTTTTTGAGTGACGTCGCCCGGAGATGATATTCCTGCACGAGGGAGAGGACGAGCTGCGTCGGAGTGGAAGCGAGGAGGTGGGAACGCAGGGTTTGGGGAGGGACAAGCAGGGGTAAGAGGTAGAACTAGAGGGAGTTAGCTGGGTTCGTGTGACGAGTGGAAGGGGAAGACTAACTTGAGCAGCGACTTGCCGTATCCCAACTGCTTTGGCTAGCGGGTCTTCGTATACTGAGTCGGGGCGAAAGCTGCGTTGCCAGATTTCCGGGGTTGGACGACCGGCGAACAACTGTTGAATATCGATCACGAGAGGAGAAAATACGGAGACAAGTTATAAAAAACTAAGATGGGAACATATCAAGGCAATGAACATACCTCTCTGATGTCCTTTAGAACCCTCCTCCTCTCCTCCGCCAGTACCTCCTCATCCACCCCGACCTCCCCTTCTGCCAAACTCGCAGCAACGAGCGCGACGCTCCTGCCGCTTCTTCTCCGTCTTATACTCCCTCTATGCCTCGGCGCATCCCTGTCCCACCCATCTCTCGATCTCGACCAGCTGCTCGCGCGACCCACGCTGCCGACTGGTAGGGCGCCGAGCTCGTACGAACCTGGAAAGGAGGGGCCATCATCCAGCGCTGGAAGGGGGAAGACCGTAGCGTGCGCTGCGCCAGGTACGGCGGCGAGGAGGTTTGAGGGCCCCGAGAGGGAGGGAACAAGAGATGAGATCAACCGCGGAGGGTGGAATTCGGTTGTGGGTGTTCCAGGAGGAGAGGCCATTCTACAAATAGGGGCACCGTAATGATAGCGCCCAGTGGTATCCAACGACCACTTCGACGTATCTCCAATGTACAGGCTCAGCTATCCAAGCACTAAGGCAGGACGTCGCCGTCGCTGTCGTGGTCGTCTGAACGAAGCGGATTGGTCAACCCCTGTCAACTGTCCGCACTGGACTGTATATGCATCCCTGCCCGCTTCCTTTCTCTAATCAATGGAATTTCACGAGCATCGAAGGCCCTGACGCACAGCGCTTGTAATGCCAAGCACTGATGGCGCTTGATCTGGTATTTTCTCCTTCACTAGATTCAAATATCGCAAAAACGACGTGCTGGCAATCCAATATCTTAATCGAGGATATACTTTGGCAAAGGGGAAGTCGAGGAACGTCTACACCTGAGCATGGACACGCTGACAGCTGCTGGTCTATGGGAACGAGGGAGAGGCAGGTTGATTACACGTTGGGCGAGTGCAAGATGGGATGGGAGATGAAGTCGATCATCTCCAGCAGGAGTTGGAGGGATGGAACGGTGAGATCTCCTATGAGGTATGTGTGGACTCTGATTGATGTACAGGATCATTTGTAGGCCTGTCATGCGGGTAACGACAGACTCGTGAAACAAAACAATAGGGTCGGAAACTGAACCGAAGGAGTAAAATTCATTGCTCTTCCAAGCCTCGAGCATTGAGCGCCGGCGCTAGAGCAGGAATGGAGGTCAAAGGGCTGTGGCGACCACGAAGAGGCGAAGTCGCGACCACACCGTGAACGTACGTCCAGTTCACTTCTACATTAGGGTGATTCTCATTTTGAAAAGAGAAAGGAACATGAGGTTGCGTCTCCATCTCAATACTCGAAACAATTGGCTCCACCGAGATGGATCTGGCGTTGAGGCATCGGGAGAGTCCGATGCAAATGATGGCAAAGACGATGACAAACTCGACCAGGACCTCCAGGGCCCAGAAAGACACGTGTGACAACGCCGTGCCGACCTCGTTCAACGTATCGATGTTCGTATTAGTGAACCTCCAGAGGCGATGTCCAGCTGTCAATGCCTTTATCATGCGTTGAGACAAGTGGACAACGAATGCAAGCAATCTCTACACACCATTGGAACCAGAGCGAGTACGTCACCCATTCTTCCAACTTGAGTCAAGCGACCGTCGTGACATATATGATGCAGGACGACAACAGCACAAATGATGAAGATGACAAGCTCCATGAATGAGGCGATCGCGCTGGGATGGCGTTAGCTCTGCGCGATAACCTCGGATCTTTCACACCGATTGAGATATATTTCGGCAGAAAGCACGGAGCCGATGTCTTGGAGCATCTTGATGCTTGATATGACATACAAAGCCCTTGCACAGTGCATAAGCAACATTGGAGAAGGTGCTGTGCTAGAGCCGGGGACTTACAATGGCATGATGAGCAGCAGTGGCACAAATCGTATTGCTCCTCCTGGTTTCAAAACTTGAGAAAGCATGATTGAGCAGACGAGAGCGACCAAGGTGATGTTTGCGCAACCAGCGAGCATGTCCAAGGCACTGATCTTGTACAGATAAAGGTTGTGGGGTCTCTCCAAGACGTATCCCAGGGATGAATTTAGCCAAAACGAAATGCAGCGAGTCAAGAGGTGGGTGATCAGCAAGATATAATGCCCTGCGATGTAGATGTGACTAATAGGCCATGCTTTCCAGACTGCGACGACGAATACGCAGCCGTAGACCACTGCCCAGCCAAGGGAGATCTCGGGCCCGTTTGGTAGGGAAGAGGTTGGGGAGTAGACCGTGTCGTTTTGCATGGGAGCAGAATATGTGCTGTGTCCGTAGGCCGAGGTCGGTGAACATCGTATTTCAAAGAGGCAAGGTACTTTTATAACTAAGGAAGATGGGTGGAATGACGGAAAAGAATGGGAGCCAAGGAGAGAACTTTGAGTTCAGGACATTACGGCAACACAGCCAATCACGAAATCGAAGGAGCCGTGATGGAAAACAAAGGGTGGAAGGATATCGAGTACATAGCCAATCGCAATATTAAAGAAACGAGCACACTCGTTAGATTCGGAGGCCCCTCGCGGAACAAGCGTGCTAGTCTTTGACTCGCGTCCTCATCTGTTTTCTCACTCCCTTCATCATCTCCCTGTCCTGTTTCGTCGCTGTACTTCTCTACCAAAACGGGGCCATGCCCAGTCGACCGGTAACCGTATTCAATACCCACTCCTGTGCCAAATTTTATTACTTACCTGAACTAAACTCTCTGTCATTCATGCATTGTACATACCTAGTGTGCAGAATAACGAAGGTCCCAAACCAAGTTCCTAAGAACATGTGTTACCACGCTCTTCTTGTAAACATTGCATGATTTGTAGGCGTGTCCGACGGGAATTCCAATGCAGGCGTGTAAGCGGGTATTTCGGTAACACATCATTATTTTTCAGGAGTAACCTCTGCCCACTCCCGCGGGCAGTCACATTCCCGGACTACACCGTGAAGGACTAAACGACTTCAAGCGCAGTCTTAGTTTCCCGCACTCAACGCTCGGTCAAACTGGAATGGTTTACTTTTTTTTGGTCATTTATAACAGTTGCCAAATGCCGAGCGTTTTCAAGAATTGCACCCCCGGGTTGAGAAATGGCTTAACTACCAGCTGGCCTGCAGGTCACGTCACATCGCTCCCATCGACACGCATACATACGTCTCAGAGAACCACCGCGCCAACCAACACCTGCGGCGCGTCCCTTGCCCTTTGCTACCGTTTCCCTCTGCCCCAAACCACCACTATCCAGAGACGGTGACAGAGCAGGACAGGTTACCAAGTGATTGTATCAGCTCGGGGAATGAGGACAGTGTGAAGTTATAGGGCTCTTGGATTGCTGAGCAAGGAAAAGAGGTCAGAACAAACCGATATAATCATGCCCCGTATAGTGAAATCCTAAAAGTATTATATAGTGTTATAATAAAAACTAGGTAAGCCCAATCAGAGAAAATGCTGACATGAGTAACGTTAAAGAAGATTTATAATTCTTCTCGCCGAGAAAAAAGCTTTAGGTATAAAACATTCTAAAAATACTCTATTAAAAATGTTTTAGTTCATTCTGCTGCTATCGGCAGGCTGCCCGTTTGGATATGTCAATCGTGTCTCATGATTTTCGGGGCACGCAATGGGCAAAACCAATATTCCGTCGGCCTCACTCGCGTCACCATCAAGACTGCTCCCCTTCAGTCCTCTCTCCCATCCACCATCAGTTGTTTTCCCATCGCCCCAATGGCCCCTCCCATCCTCAAGTTGCTCGATGGGCACGCCGTTCCTCAGCTTGCCTTCGGCACCGGCACAGCGCTCTACGGCTCCAACGCGTCGCTCCCCGTTCAGCGCGCGCTCAAAGCCGGTTTCGTGCATATCGATGCAGCGCAGATGTATGCAAACGAGGCATCTGTTGGGGATGCTATTACTGCGAGCGGCTTGCCTAGGGACAAGCTATTCGTCACCACCAAGTTGGACAAGCTTGCTCCTGGGGAGAGCGTGTCGGACAGTCTGAAAGGGAGCCTGAAGAAGCTCCAGGTGGAGTACGTCGACTTGTGGCTCGTTCACTCGCCTATCCCGTTCGAGAAGGCAGGAGAACTGGAAGCGGTGTGGAAGGGTATGGAACAGTGCAAGTCTGAGGGGCTGGCGAGGAGCATCGGGGTTTCCAACTTCCGTCCGAAGGATCTCGAGCGAGTGCTCAAGGTTGCGAGGGATGTGCCAGTTGTGAACCAGATCGAGTATGCCCAGACTTCGTCCCTCCATTATGTATCACTCTAACAACTTATGCACAGGTTTCATCCCTATGTGCAGAAGCAGCTCACCCCCTTGCTCGCGCTCATGAAGCAGCACGGCATCCTCGTCGAGTCCTTTGGGGGGCTCGTACCTATCACACGCGTCTCTTCTGGCCCCATTACGCCTATCCTCTCCCGCCTGGCACAGAAGTACAGCAAAACGGAGGGCCAAGTGCTCATGCGCTGGCTGGAGGCAAAGGGCGGTATCTCTGTAACGACGACGACGAAAGAGGAGAGGCTGAAGGAATACTTGGCAGCATACGAAGGTGGAGAACTGACGAGTGAGGAAGTGGCTGAGATCGACGAGGCGGGCGAGAAGCTGCATTTCAGGCACTTCCAGAAGCATATGAACGACTTCTGAGAACGAACGGTCCAGAGACAATTGTAAGAGTCTTAAGAATTAGAATTGTATGGCTGAATGGAATGTAACAGAGGAACCTCTATGGACGAGTCTGACCTCGTTCAAGGTTGATATATGCGCTTGATTCATATGACGCCCTTTATCAGGTCGGCCGCTGCATATATGCGCTCAATATTGCGCTCTAACCCACAAGCTCACACTCACCTTGCTCCGCGATCGCATATGCAGTCGCCTGTGTATGCGCGGCGATATGCAGTGGGACAATGGACAAGTCGACGACCCGCACGTTCTCTGTTCCATATACCTTCAGCCGGCTATCAACCACCCCGCCCTTCTCTCGAGGTAACATGGAGCACGACCCCACCGTGTCTGTTCGGTAGTCAGCACTGTCCTCTCAAATGCTAAGAGCGCGTACGAAAGGCCGTCATCAGTCCGTCGATGATATACTCCCTCATCTCCTTGTCCGTTTGAACAGCTGGGCCCGGGTCGACCTCTCGTACAATACATGAGCGGAATGGTTCTTCCTCAGCGACTTTCCGAGCGAACTTGAGGCCCTCGACTAGTAACTGCATGTCGAAGTCATGCTCGAAATAGTGTGGGTCCATGAGTGGCTGCTCGACGGGATCACGGGAAGCGATGTGCTACTCCGATCAGTAAGCCTGTCCCTCGTCTACACTAATCGACTTACACAATAGAGCCTCTCGAGAAGGGACGGTTCAGCGCCACGAGCACCGTCATGTACTGTTTGCCGTCTTCAGGCTGGGTACGAAATGTGTGGCACTGGGGGATTGTCGTCCATTCCATATCAACTGATGTCTCGCTCTGCAACACACGCATCTGGATTTGGTACTGCTCCCACAACGCAAGACTGATCTTGCCGTCCTGGTACAGGCTTTTCAACTTGGCGCAGTGGGAGGTAATCAGTTCATCGGCGTTGGGACAGACTTGTTGCATGGGGGTGAATGTGAACCCCGCCAAGCCGAGCGTGTGTATGCCCTGCTGGGATTCACTAACGAGGCTCAGATCTCGAGCAAACTTCAAAAGGCCCGGTGCTCACAAGAGCTTCATCCGCTCCGTAGCCCACGTTTGATCTTTTAGAAGTCTGTCCAAGGTATGCCAATCTTTGTTTGGATCCATTTCTGTGGTTTTCTCAGACATCTCGCAGGAACCATGGAATATGCCCACCATAAGAAATAGATATGCTCTTGCACATTTTCGCCAACACCATCAAGCGCTATCTTGCAGTCCACACCTAGAGGCGCCAATACGCTTGGATTCCCGATTCCAGACAGGTCGAGCACTTGTGGGGACTTCAGCGTCCTGAACCATACCTTGTCAGCGGATTTTGTACTTAGACGTCGGTGGCCGTCGCAATTCACCCAGCGCAAAGAATGACATCTCGGGTAGGCCTTACCGTCAATGTTGCTTCCCCACGGCTAAACTCGACCTCTTCTACCTTCAGGACCGATAAATCTTTGGAAGCCGAAAGGTCGTCGGGTTCCTGGAACAGGAGCCTGGAAACGTTGGCACCCGGAAGCACGAGGAGGTTGTTTCGGACAAGGTTTGGCTCCAGGAAGGCCTACATCTTCCACGGTGAGCAGACAGTTTTATTGTTTGCACACTTCGTTCTGATGACCGTACCGTAGTTGCGTAAGATCTCGTGAGCGTTAGTGGATCTGGAAGATGCGTGATGACAAGCGCTTCGGGCAGAAGAGGCACAACCTCATACCAATGGTGACCGCGCTCATCCACATCCCGTTCACGTCACCGCTCAACTTCGCGCGATCAACTGGCGGTCCCCATTTGACCAAAGATTTCATACCGGTTCTTTAATGGTCTTGATCCCCACTGCGTTCATCGCCTGGTGAGGAGCATCGGCGCCGGACCCGACAAACAACGCTCGAGTGGAGTACCATCTGATACGGCGCTTCTCCATCCATGATCAAAGGAGGGAAGCAGACTTCGAGCTCTCCGTTTCTACCATGGAATCGCTCTTCAGATGTTTGCCGATACTTGATGGTTTGTTCAGGAGACGGATCCGTGAACCTGACATGCGTCAAAAAGTGACAACCGATCTTCTTCACACAAACCCACTTCTCGCTTCTTTTGGAATACTTCAGGTAATGATTCCAATTCCACCCCGGGTTCCCGAGCTCTTCCCAAGCTAATCTTTCCTAAGAACTAACTCGAATGAACGGAGGAGAGAAATCCTACCATCTACGTCTCCGACAGATGGTCGAATGTACGCCATGAAGTTGGCAGCTGACGAGCCGCCCAGGCCCTTACCTCTGGTCGCTTTCAGGCAGTGTCAACTCCCTCAGGCAGAAAAACGCACCGGGGCCACACATACTGTCGGTTATTGCAATACCGTTGCTCAGTGGTGACGAACTTCCAGTCATACCGCTCGTCAGCTAGACGCAAATACTGGGCGGGAACGAGGATGGCTGGATCATCCAGGTTGGCGTTGCCAGCCTCCAGCACAAGGACCGTAACATTGGGATCCTCCGAAAGGTGTGCCGCCAAGGTCAGCCCGGCAGTCTACAAGAAGTGCATGATGATGAGAACCCTGGAACCTCGTCGGCAGACGGCAACATGGCTTACTCCGCCGCCTATCAAATCGGCACACCGGCATGGTCAGCGCTATTTCTGAGGAGTAACGCTCCAACAACGTACCGCAAATGACATAGTCGAATTCCCTTCCCTGCACATCCTCGACGTTGACGAGAGGCATGATGAGAAAGGTGAACTCAAGTTGGCAACAACTGTACTTGGCGTTGCCATCCTGGCAGCTGATGAACACAGGGATGTTGAGCATTTTGGCAGCCGATCCGAAAAGGGACCCGACTGGTATGCCGATTTCTTGCAATGGATCACTGTGCGATCCTGCTGACAAACAGGTCTAGCAACAGGGATAAGTGGACTATGGTACAGAACCGAGGGATCTTTTCCCGATGTCGGTGAATCACCTGAGCGACTCTTCCACAGACTGGGTATCATTACACGAATAACCACGTCGACATCCTTTGATTGCTCTAAATGAATCTCTCGCTGGCAAGATCATCTCAGGGACATACCGCTGGCAAGCGGTCATTGTTCGACAACGGCAGTGACCCTAAGTTCCATAATCCCGAAGCCGTACCTTCCCGACCGGGCTCCTCCATAATTTAGACTCTCACGACAATCGCGCGTTGCTGATTGGGAGATACGCCTCTTCTTCAGTTAGAAGAGAAGCCCGCATGTGGGGACGAACCGCCCCGGCCGAGTTTGACGAATCGGCATCAACACACCCGCGAGGGTTCCTGACGACCGGCAGCCGATCTCGGCGCCGACATTTCAAATTCACGTGCTCCTGTAGGGAAAGCATAAGGCTTCCGGAAGCGTGCGGCGTCACATGCTCGTCGTACCGTCACGTCGGATCACGTCCGGTCGTTACCCCGCATTTGGGAGCAGTTGTCGATTACACTCTCCAGCTCACTGATATGCTTGGGCGGTGCTTGCATGTGCAGCTCGGTGTGCTTCAGTGGCATGATACCGCTATGAGCTGATGAGCTGATGTTGTTTACAGTGCTGGGCTTGGACGGAGGCGAGCAGAAGGGCTGAAGCGGAGCTGAAGCACCGCCGTGCGCCGAGGGAAGTAAGCTCACTGCTGCGCGGAGTCGTACGATTCGGTTCGTCTGTGAGGCGTAGATCATAGGAGGATCAGCTGTGCTGACGGTGAGAAGAGAACAGCTTCTGTTCTGCTGGAGACTAGTGGTAGGAGGGTGACTTGCGTGCGTTTGCTTTGCTCGCTAAAAGTGGTACGATCCGAATACGCTGATCCAAGTTTTCTACTTCTGTCGCACCCCGCAATACCCGCATGGCCAACGGCCTGCTCGACGCCTTCCTTTTCCTGTTGATTCCCTCCCCTCTCCGGGGGAGAGACAAAATTAGAAACCCCAACTCTACGCGCCCGAAGGTGAGCGGGTCATGCGCCTACATGACTAGTTCCACATGGACGAGATGACCAATACACGTATAGCAGCCTTTCTCTCCGTTCTTTTTCTGTTGACTCCCACCCCACCCCGGAGAGGGAGACAAGAATAGAAACCCCAACTCTACGCCAAAGGTGGGCGGGTCATGCGCTTAGCGCCTACATGACTAGTTCCACATGCCACATGGAGTAAACGACCCGGAGGCAGAGAGTTCGGACAGCGTCAGCAGCCTGCGGGTGCACAGCCGTATATTGTGATAGGCTTCAGAAGGGGTGGGGGCGGCTCGGGGAGGGGTGGGTGGGTGGAGTTGTGGAAGGACGCAGCTGGAGGAGGAAGGGGGAAGGGGGAAGGGGAAGGGGAAGGGTGCTTTAGGCTAGGAGGGGCGGACCGGGTGGGTAGGATATGCACAGGGCGTCGGTGCTGGCCAGTCGGCTGGAACCGACGTACTCCGCTCGGCTTAGGGGGAGTGGAGAGGGCGCATCTATAAACAAATATAGTCTATCTTGCAGCCAGTCAGAAAGGGCGGATGACAGATCTCTCCGCTCCCGTTAGGAATCTGACCAACAGTGAGGACAGCCTACGAAATCCGGTATCCGGTGTCTGGTGTCTGGTAGTGTACCCCCTCCCCGGGCCCGGGCCTGGCCCCGCCCTTGTGTCTTGTGACCGGGAAATACCGAGCCGACCCATCTTGCTTGCCCAGAGGGAAGAGAGGGGATTACGTAACCCGCCCGCACGGGGAAAACTGGGGGGGGGAACAAACTCGTGCAGCCCCAGTGGCCAGAGGCCCGGGTCTGACCGCACACTTGGATCATCGACAGCGACAGCGACAATTCCCTGTTTCTAGGCAAGATGGAGAGGGGGAGATCTGATCTATCTGATCTGATGAATTGGCGGTGCAGGGGGAAGGAGGGGAGATGTTTTTCTTGCTCGTTCGCCGCTGGAGCTGCTGCTGGTGCGGGCCGCAGGGGCGTCTGAGCCAGGTGAAAATCTGTCAGCAGCAGTGGGCTTGTACGGGTCGGGAGAGCGCATACCGTATACCGTATACCGTATACCGCACGGGCCGCACCACAACCACAAGCACTGCTGTACCTCATCTTCTGCTTCTGCTTCTTGTCCGCAGTCTTCTTCGGTTCGATCGGGCACCGCAGGCTGCAGTGGGGGAAGAAGTCAACGGAACACCACAGATGCACTGCACGAGTGAGGAGCCAATATCCTTCCAGCTGTTGGCAGTGCCGAGAAGAAGCTGCGCCGGCGCCGGCGCCTTACGCGTTCGGTCTTACTGCGCTCGCGCTCGGTTGACTTGGTTTGGAGCACGGGCGGAGGTGTTACTAGTGTTGATGGACCGAGTGATTGTCGGTTTTATTACATCTTTGATCTCGAAGCTGTGCACGAGCTGATCCAGCGCACGGTAGAGGAAGAGGAGGAACAGATGAGAAAAGAAGTGTCCTGGGGGCGGGCAAGGAGAAGATTCGCGCGTTATCTCTGTCGGCGATACGATAAAATCGGGTATCACTTGTTCCGCGATTGGCAGGTTGGGAGCAAGGGGGCAGGAGTTGGTTCTCGGGGGTTCTGCAGTGCCACCCGGCCCAAGTCGGCGGGTGCAATTTAGGACGTGGGAGGCGTGGGGATGACAAAATGCTGCGCTGTGGTTGGTGGATCTGGGATTGAGCGCAGTGGTCGTTAGAGGAATTGGGAGAGCAGGAAATGGGTTTCTGACAAGGGGATATGGTGTGGTTGTATTGTGGGAGTGTAGAGAGTTATCAGATCTGTGTATGTTGATGTTATGTGAGAGTGAAGTGAACGATGTTGAGTCTGGTTAGGAATGGCCTTGCTGTGATTGGTGGATCTGTGGACCCTATCATGCTTCTGTCGTGAATGAGAAAAAAGGAGAGAGCGGTGTGGTGATGGAATTGGCGTGAAAGTGTGTGTGTGTGTGTTGTGTGTTGTGTTCGGTGTATGGCTGTTAGCTGGACACGTAACTCTCTTTTCCTCGTGATAAAAGAGTACAAATATCCCCCTTACAGCGTTCATACACCTTCCCACGCAGACCACCATTTCCGCATCTCACTCCGTTATATACCCTTCACACTGGGTAGAACAATCTCAACCTTCAGACTCACACTCACATTGCCCTCTTCGGTCTTCAACCCAAAAGCGGACCAACTCACCATGCATCCAACAAAACGCACTCTTCCCCTCGAACTCCTCTTGGAGATAATCGACTCTCTCATCCTCCCCACCACCTCCTACTCCCACCCACCAATCGTACAGCACACACTCCTCTCTCTCTGCCTAACATCCCGCCTCCTCTCCTCACTCGCATTCCGCCACCTGTACGCGCGCGTCTATCTCCGCACTCCAAGCCAGCTAAGGGCATTCCTCGACCTACCAAGGAAGAGGCCAACCCAAGCGCTCGCTTTAGCCGCTGGGATCCCCCTCTCCCCGTCGGACGTCAAGCGCCTCTGGGCCGCGTACCCGACACTTGAGCGCCTCAGCCTGGAAGGTCAGATCCAGGCATTCAACCCTTCCCCTTCCCTCTCTGCGCCTCGGCCACCCACGCAAGTACTGGAAGAACTCGCACTCATCCCCGGAGGCCAACGTTACCCGCTAGAGATCTTCTCCTCCTGGACCCCCTGTCCCCACCTCAAAAGTCTCGCATTCATGCACGCCGTCCTGCACGAACACGACGACAACCTCTCGGCAGGCTACTACTCCCGGCTGGGGGAGTTGTTCCCCAGTCTGGAAGTGCTCGTTCTCACGCTACCGGCAAGATCGAGGCGCTTGTTGAAGAGTTTCAAGTATATGGTGGAGTGCCTCCCAAAGCTGAGGAAGGTGTTACTGGTCGAGCCTGCACCGGCACGTCGTTTATCCTCATCTCACTCGGCTCATCATTCCCCATCCCCGTCCCCATCCTCGTCCCCGTCCCCCACACTCCGCTCAACCCCTCTACCATCCCCAACCCGCCGACCTATCCCCCTCCCCGCATCCCCCCTCCCCTCCCTCCCCGAACTGACGGAAACGATTGGCAAGTCCCTGCTCGCCCGTTCACCCCCCGTAGAAGTGCATGAGCTCCTAGCAACAGCCCACGGGTGCCAGAGTGGCGATTCCGGCGAAGGGAAGAAACTGTTCCGGGACTGGTTTGCAAGTGTTGTGAGAGAAGGCAGTGTTTGGAGCTTGGAGGGCAGTGTTTGGGGCAGAGAGGAGAAAGGGGGGGAGGGAGATGCGCCCCAGGTGTTGCTGGGCGAGGTGGTGCTGTTGAGCTGCTGAGATGTATGCGCTGATGGGACACGTGGCTAGTCGACGAAAGACGCGACGCGACGCGCCATGCCACCCTTTACTCAACCCAACCCAACTCCGGTACACTACATCTTCCCCAGTCCTTCCCAGTCCAATCTCCTCGAACTAGTATCCCTCCCTTTTCATCTGCATCATCCCCTCCTCAGACTCCATCATCTCATCTCATTGTACCACTTCTACACTATCTACCCTTGCTGCCGTAGTCGATACCCACCCCTCTGCACAAGCACAAAAAATGTATTACCTACCTGAAATGGACTCTGTACTGTAGGAAGTGAATGGGAACGGATGATGTTCTATGTGATGCCGTAAGGGGTGACGCGCTGAGCTGCGGACGAACAGTGGACTAACTCACGCACACACACTTGACCGGGGTTGTTGACTACTACTACTACTACCACCACCACACTCCTCTCATCCACGATCCACGTATCGGGGTTAATTTCTTATCTAGCGCTTGTCCATGCAGGATATCCCGACAAAACAGTTCCGTTTGCCGCTACCGCTACCGCTGCCATTACCATTACCATTACCATTGCCGTTCCCACTCTTGACTTTGCTTAGAGAAGAATTCTAAGTCAGACTGATGTCTGCTCATGGTGACAATACATGCTTGCTTTCCCGGCCACTGGCAGCTAAGATCGCTTTTTGATGGTAAATTCACTGCCTCCGCCTGGACAGTTGCTCGTGTCGGTTCCGGTTTTGATGCGGTTTCAGTTCTGATGACCAGTCATTGTATAAGACCTCCATGTTGTGACACAAAATTGTCACAACCAAACATTTGTCCACTACTTCTGCCACATTACCCAGTACAGTATATGGCAAACAGCACACCCTCCTGCCTAACATCTTCCCTTCCCAACAGCCCTGAACTCTCATTCAGGTGGGGAGCCATCTACACGTTGATCTTGCTGCTGGCCATCTGCCAAGCATGGTCCTGCCCCCACCTCTTGACAGTAGGCTACCATGCCATGTTGTTGACTCATATCCTTGCTCAGTGTACTGCATTCTTCCTGAATTATGTGTCAGTGTATGAATATGAGACACTTCCAACTGTAATTGTCAACCTATACTGGATCAGCATCATAGACCTTCTCGCTGGGTATGCAAGTTCTACCTTGGTCACCCTCATGTTGCCTATCATGCTTTCCCAGCTGCAGAAGCCCAGAACAGCAGTCTGCTTCATGCTGTTTTTGCTTATTATGCCATTGTAGGTGTTCATCAGCCAATACCCATGCATACACCTGACACCTGGGCATAGGACCTTGCATTTTGCAACCTGTGTCAAAGTGTTGCAAAGTTCCATTAACATGACTCTCACCATGGTCTACTAGGTTGACCCAACTTGCTTTGCTCAAGCATAGTTATGTGAAAGACCCTATGTATTGCCTCAGAGTCTTTTTTTGGTACATTTGTTGTATCTATGTACATTTCAATCATAATAGGAAATTGCAGAAGAAAGAAGAATAGAAAAGCAGGTATCTAAGAAATATTGGAAAGAACTTCAGGATATACAACATTTTGAGTGACTCTATGCATCTCTACAGTTGGTGCTTGAGGTGGTAAGAGTATTCTAATTGCAGAAGGCAATGTACAACATGAAAGTGCAACATATAATTGGCCATGTGAGAAAACAGGAATGCATAAGTCCAAACCAACATTTGTGACTGACTGTCCTTGAGCCTTGTTGATTGTCATTGCAAATGCAAGTCAAACAGGAAACTGGTGGTGCTTCAGGACAAAGCTGAGATTGTCCTCAGATGGTGTGAGTGAGATGCATGGAATGAATGCTGTTGTACCATGATGTTCACCTCCAAGGAGTTGGACTTCTAAAACTCGATTTGTTGAACAAATGAGTCAACATTGTGTCCCACCACAAAGGCCTTGTGCTGGTGCAAGATTCTACAGTAGCATAAGTGGACACCCAGGCTTGATTTCCAACTTGCTGAGGGGAAGTCCAGGCACTTTGAGTGCATTAAGATACTCAGTTAGAATTTCCATCTGTGCATCAATGCCTGGCTCCTGAACAACTAAATCTGCTGAGAGGAAGGTGATGACTTCTCCAGGATGGTGTGCAAGTACTTCTGCATTGAGATCATCAACATCTGTGTTGCATGCAGCAAGAATTGTTTGATTGAGGAAGTAGTCATCTTCATTTGGTCCTCCAAGCTCACGGTTCTTGATGTCTCAATATAGTGATGTGATCAGGCTGTCCACTGAAGTCTTGCATTTGATTCCATCCCAAAGGTTGAGCATTCCATTGGCATGGGAGTGTACTCTACACCTCCCAATGAGGCATCAGGAGAAGGTCTGCTGGAGGGTGAGTTGACAGTGGTGGCCCATACTCTGTAGCAGGTAGCACTAGATAAACCAAGCCTAATCAGATCCTTGACTCCTAAGGTAGAGCTGCTTGAGTACCCGTCTGAAGGTCCTGTGTGGGCTCTGAAGCTGGACACAGCAATCTGAAGGGCATCCAAATGAGAGAAGGAGTGTGAAACGGGACAAGTGAGGTGAACAAGAGGTATTTGAAGGTCAAAGGGGTCAAATCAAGGCTTGGATCAGTCTAGGAAGGAGCTAGAGCAAGCAATGACTTTAAGGTAAAGCAGTAGTATTAGTTGTAAGTTAGAGGAACACCTGTGTGAGGGCACTAGGTCTAGCAAGGTCACCACACACTAATCCCAAACAATAGATGAAGTGCTGGGGGGTCTACTGTGGTTGAAAGTGGCTCTAACCAGCAGTACCAGTCAATATCCACATCACCAGGGCCAGCTGGATTATTGGGGGGGTCCAAGGGGGTCACTGGGGGGTTCCAGGGGGTGTTATAAGTTGATTATAGATAGCTGAAAAGTGTAGCAAGAGTTGTGGAGTCAAGGCAGGTTTCTGAAAGCAGGGTGTTCAGGCGTGTGTAGAAGGGGGTTCAAGACAATGAGATGACTTAGAAACTGCTTGTAGACTAAGGAGTTTCCTCAGAGATCAAATCTGAGGGATACAGTGTCACTGTACTACTGTTCATATACCTTGTAGGTGTTCACCAGAAGCCCAAGAGTCCAGGTAAAGTCTGGGGACTCCTACAAGTGTCAGATAGACATCCTAGCAACACCCCTAGGCCTCCCAAACCTTTCCAATAAATTGTGGAGACTCCTATAAGTGTCATCTTGTGTCCCACTACTCCCAGTAGGGGCCTTTAGCACCACTATGTCTCACCCCAAGTGTCTGGACACAGCAGTCTTGTGGTGTCCTCTGCACAATGTCTTGTATGGCCACTGCCATTGTCCTAAGGCAGTTACCAGCACAGGAAGTTCCAGGGGCTTGTTATTTCATTGCTCCTAGGGCAAAATGGATGGCCAGGGGTGGTAACAGGCAGTGCCCTGACAACCCATCTTGAATGAGTGCAGTAGTGAGTAGTTGTCAGGGCACCAGCTCATTGCTTGGTCAAGAGACATGACTAAGCCTTTA